CAAAGTTCTGGATTTATTTAACTGGCAGGATATTAAATGATATAGCTGTTACCTTTCCCTGTATTATAAATTATTGAATTAAGTCTTCAGTCAGTTTGGCAACAGTGCCAAATGAATATTACAACAGTACAATGCAGCAAACAGTATCTGTCATTGAATCTAGGTCTCACTTCTAGCTGAAATTACAGTGAACAAAATGCTTGTGCAGTAGATTGGAAAAGGTTCATTATTATTTATTCATCTTGCCTAGTAACACAAAAACTAATGAAATTTCATTGAGAAGAGTGCACATCAGGATTACTATACATCATAAAGACACGTCCCTCTAACTTCATTGTGGATATTTGTCTCTGTAATTAGATGTTTGTTCCACAATAGTTCTGTACCTGAAGGACATGACCAAGTTCATGACACAAAACAAATCATCCACACAGATGAAAAGGCTTCCTTTATCTTGCCTACATCTTGCATAACAGCATAGAAGTCTTCATAAAGTATTTCCATAAAGCCAGTGAAGTCATGCACAGGTAGTAATTCTAACATTGCTACTCACACATTATTTATTTTTGAGTAAAGTACTACATTTTTAATACAGCTTACAGACTAGTGTGTTCATAACCCCTACACCTATTCAGGCTCTTGTACGTTTACATGTATCTCCACAAATAATTGCTCATAAATCTGTGTTCATCTGTAGCCAAAGGTGTAAGCTTAGTGAAGCTCCATTGAATGCTACCCAGAATACATCCATTATCAGCAAGTTTCCTTACTGTAGCTTGAACTTGTGGTCCAGAATTTTTAGGGAATATTTTGTTTTTGTATTGAATGCAGTCAGTATCATATAAATCAGAAGTAAGAGTCTGATTGCTATACTCAGTATAAAATGATGAGAAACGTCACATTTTGGCATTTAGAGATCCATCCTTAATTATTTTGGAATTAGAACGTGTGTATATGTGAGATGGGTAATAAATTCACTGATACCCAATTATAATCACAGAAAGTTATCTCAAAGTGTTGTGGCAATACTGGTTATCATAGCAGAACTGTTAAAAATGTTTGAAGCATCAGATTTTGACAAATTCTTTTGTCAATAATTATTTAATGGAACAACACATAATTCAATATGGTCAGTTTTGCATAATAATTATTACCTGTGATATATCACATATTTTTATATGCTAGATTCTGGCAGTCCTGACAGCTGGTAATATTAGTAACTAAAGTTATATTTTATACTTTCATTGCTCATTTTAACACCCAAGTAGTTCAGGAAAATGTATAACCTGAGTGCATTGCTTGGCACATTAACCTCAGATCACACCTACCTACACCACCATATGAGTTATGTTTAAATGTTAGGAAAAATATTGGAATATTTGAATAATTTTTCAGGGAATAAATTTAGGGTCTACAGAATTGTTTTCAATTAAGACATTTAACGCTTTTGTGCCATTTACCAAGGCTGGAGAAGCAGAAGCAACAGTCCTTTGGTCTTGATAGTTACATCTCCAAACCCAAATCCAGACCATGATTCTCTGGGTGAGCCAGAGACCACTACCCCAAATTTGACTTTTTCAACAGGAGTTAAGACTTGAAAGGAGCCCTGTGTCTCTGGAGCTCTGCACATCAGTGTCTGAAGGGAGAAAACACACAAAAGTTGAAAGCCCTTTTGGGAAAACCCTATAGGTTTTAGATTGCTTCTGCCTGCTCAAACCTGTAACATCTAATCTCCCTTTCTTTGTGTATGTCTACTGCTTCATTCTCTGATTGAGAACTGAATGTCGTTCTCAATCGGCAGTCAATCAATCGAGAGAGAGAAGAGGGAAGCCTGCCTCCCATTTCCTGTAGTTCTGGCAAGTTGGTTTTCCTTTTACAGAATGCTTTTATGGCCCTTTTCTTCTTTTTCCACCTTCTTTTCCAGTGTTAATATCTGATTTCTTGAACCAATGTGCATTACTTTACACTTTCCTGATAGCAAACAGCATCTCATCCATTACCTCTTCTTTTGAATCTGTCTTGCTCCTTTTAAAGTCCTTGAGCTGCCTAGTACAGGCTTTTGATGAGGAAAATGATCATTCTGTTCTGCTTTTGACAAGTTAAATCAAAAACCACAATGTTATTTGCAGGAAAAGACTCAACAACATTTGTAGGACCTATAAACTCCTCTTCTTCAATTAAATCTTACCAGTGTCTTCAGCTGTGAAGAAAGACAGATTTTGAATTCATTTTGACTTTTCATATTATTTTCTACCCATGCTGTGGTTACAAAGATGGAGTCCCTAACTCACCTGTCTCATCTTTTTAGCTAGAACTGACAGGTGTTTTACTATCAAGCTGATTTAAAAGAGGCCTCTTAATCAGGTGTCAGCTTTGGCCCATAAAGTCATATTAATGTTTTGGATCAGATATGAGGCTATATCTAAGGCACATTAAGAAAGATTCATTAGAAACTCACTACACCTGGAATTTACAGCCTTCCTTGGAGCTTAATAGCCTGGATAAATTCCTCCTTATCTGGTTTGCTTATGTGAATTATAGCAGTTTTGCATTTAGAAGCTTTTCAGAGTACAGATTTTGCCATTATTTTAGCTTCTTTATTCTTACTATCTTCAGTAAGGGTACACTGACAGGCTACATGTAAACCTGCATGACCCCTCTGTGCCTGCTGCATGAGTCCAAGGGAGGAAAGAGCACCCCTCGTCCATCACTTATTTGGGATTTTTCAAGCACACAGGACTCTATAGTCTTTGAGCACCTCCACAAAATGTGGCTGCAACAAAAATAATCACAGTAATTGCAAATACTGCAGACTTTGGAGCTCTCAGAACAGAACTGTACATTTCTGGCCCTTGAGCAATTAATACTCTTCAGTCTGTCTACTTTGAGCTGATTCATACAGGCAAACCCAAAGCTTTACGTGGTCTTTCTCTGCCAGCAAAGCATGACGTTTCTAGGAGAGTTTCACCAAACAGAATTTATCTGACATACTGATCAGTTTTGATTAATAAGAACTACAACTCCACTTTGAAAAAAAAAAAGAAAAAAATAAATCAAATCATAATAGAAAGGAAAAGCTGTGGTAGGAAAGGAATAAAAAGATAATCAGCTTGTTTGCAAAATTGGTCTAGTAAGTTATCTATACATATGCTACAGATTGGGTCTTAGATAGTTTAAATTGCTCTCAGGTTGTATTGCCTATCATTTCCACTTGAACAGATACCTGGTAAGGAGCTAAACATAAGGCAGCCAGAGTCAGGCAACAGAAAAGAACAGGGAGCAGGGTTTGGCTGGAAATTAGGTTGATCAAGAGTAGGCTCCAGATTTGTGATTTATTCTCCCTGTCTGGATGAGACACTGCATAAGCATTTAAATATTTATTGTGACTAACCAAAACCTCTGACTATATTTGATATGAATATCACAGCCCAAAATAGCTAACTGATGCTCACAAAGCACTGTGATATCCTCTGCTGGCACATAATTATGAAAAATCTCTGCATTGGCTGAAGACAATATGAAATAACGAATAAACGAATGCTGATTCATTTTCATACTTTAGATCTGAATTCAGACAACGATGATTATGGTATTTATGGAGATCATTTAGTATCATAAAGAAATACTTTTTAACTTCTTAAAAAACATTTCATAACAAGAGTTTATGTTTGCTTTCTAACATCACGCTGAGGGTTTCCACACAAGTTTTATGAACAAAATTATGAATTTAATAAAATATGTGTATTCCAATAGATTTAAAAAAATTTACTTACTTGAATGTTAACAAAAGTAAATAGTCCTACAAAGATTCATTTGTCATATGTACCTCTGGAGAAATCATGGTGACTGGTATTGAATCTGGAGAAAGGGGGAGAAATATATGGCCATTTGCTATACAAAACGCAAAAGGATGCATCAGGAAATTGGAAATGACCAGTCTGACCTTCTCTATAAATAAGAGATGGACTCATAGTATACTGTTGGCTCTGAAAGTACACATCATTTCCCACAAGTTTCTTGTTATTCTCTGCTGCAGATCAGGCAGCAAGAAAAGGATATTAAAGAGAAAGCCAAATTATTGCACAAAGCCACCTGTACTAAAATTCATGGCTAATATTTATTTGATAGGGACTGTGATGTGTCTGCTGTTAAGGAGCTGTTAGGGTACATGTAAACCATTGTGTCCTTGTTTGACACAACAAGGGTCTGCTGTATTAAGGACATTGAAAAGGGATGCAAGAAGTAAGATGTTCAAAAGTCTGCAAACGACAAATGAGTTTAAATTCCATTTAGAATTCATTATGGGAATATAATTCCAGATTTACCAAACTATTTGCATTTTTCTCAGCTAAAGCAGGGATTTTTATGTACATCATGCAGCTTTCCATTGTTAATTTCAGGCCCACCCAGCTACATTGGTTTAAAAAATGATCCCTAGGGCATTTGGGTGCTTTAGAAAAGCTTTTCACTGATGGCTCTGGGAAAGTAGCAAGAATGACTAACAGGCTAAGTAAATTAACCCAGAAGGGGAAAAAATTCTACCAAAGAAAAGACAAGTCAAAGGATCAAAAGAAACAGCAAAATAAGAAGTCTCAAAATGTGTCAAGGGATTAAAAATAGAAGAGTAACAGGAAAAGGAATAAAGATTATTTAACTATAGCCAACCACCCTCTCTGAGGACCTCACATGGTTTCCTCAGCAAATTGTCTTCTTCCCTACTCTCCACAACAAGATAGACTACTGTGAGAAATAGAAATAGAACTGGTTTACTTACAGTCATTTGATTCTGAAAGCATGAAATAAAAGAAAAATAATACAGGGTTTTAAGTCAGTTTTGGGAGAGGTATAAATTTTCTGATAGAAAGAACAGCAAGATACAAGTTATTTTTACTAGAGCATCTTGCTCTATGGCTAGAGACCCTTGGAAGAACCACAATATAAAGACTAGAAAAATATGAATTCAAGCTCTAGACAAATGTAAGGACCAAAACACACACTTATCTTTAGGTATTTGAGTAACCCCACCAAAATCAAACAGCAAGGCCATATCATGTTTTGAATGTAGTTGAGCAACACATATAGCCTGTAGTTTTTAACAGAACGAAAAAGTTGTGGAACCTGATACTTTTTTTATGTGATTTACTGCGTTTTATAGTCTGTTGTGTCACTTACAACACCACATATAACATTCAGCCAAGTTTAATATTTTGTCTTCAGACCACTAGCTCATCTCAGCTGTTTTAGTGGCCTGACTTGATATCCTAAATTGAGAGGATGTATTTTTGCTTCCTAGTGTGCCCATGTTATCTCCTTTATAACAAGATATTCTTAAAATGAGATGTGCCTACCCAAACAGCTATTGTAGGATAAAACAAATCAATCTTTTTTGAGTGCTACTTTGAATTTTATTCTAGTTCTCTTGAAGGCTATTTCTCACAGGTACTGCTCATGAAAGCACACTCACAGCTGGGCTGTTCTGAGTTTTCAAAGCATATACAGTGTAAATTGGGCTAACAAACACAACGGAATGGACACCTTGATTAAGATATGTGAAAAACATTGTAATTACAGATGCCATCCTTAAAAAGGCTTCTGGTCAAAAACTGAAATATAAAGCATTTTTCTTTGTTCACCACTCTCTAGTTTTGCCAGATGTTCTTTGCTTTAGCTCCACTGAAGCAAGAAAGATTATATTCACCAGTAAAAAGCAATTTTTCTCTTAGAAAGATGGGGTTGTCAACTTTTCTGGTTTAGTGGAAAATATTTCAGATATGAAATAAATAAAAAATAATTAAACAAAATAAATAAAAATATATCATTAAATATTACATTCTTATTGCTTCAGAACAAAATTATTCATACAATTCCAGGATTAGGGCTCTTAGAACAACAAGTGCCACAAAATGATGCAAGCTGACAACAGGGCTGATCTGTTTTTCTTAAAGTGTACAGGGCATCGTAGACTGGAGTGGTGGAAAAGTACAAAGGGAGATGAATATGTATACAGCTGGTAGCAGATACAGATCTGATTTTTGACATGCGCTCTGCAGTTGCTTATAGCCCTGCAGGTGTTTGGGGTGACAGGGTGCCAGTGGCTAGTGCTGACCTGGCTGGGGTAAAGCTTGGGGAACTGCCTGGGGTTTCACACTGAGTTAATGCATCAGGACAGCATATCATCTTTGGAGATGCAGGAGACTCTGCTGGTGTCAGTAGAGCAAGACCTGTTTGTAGCAGCTGAGAAAATTTTCTAGAGTTACAGAGCTATAGAGCACTTGGAGAACTACATTTGGCAACCTGGGGACAGAAGTGATAGCACAAAGTGTGGTGAAGCAGTGGCCTTTGGGAATTAGATGGTACTTTCAGTCTCTCATCACCAACAAGCAGACAAAATAGGTGGATAAAATGACTGCCAACACTTATGTTGCTTCCAGAACACAGTTGTAGAGCAATTAGTTTTTTGGGTTAATATTTCTTCTTCCCAGCTATGCAACTTTACTGCAAACTCTGCATTTTTTGGACTGATGTAAGATATCCAAGAAGTGGAGAAAAGCTTTATTCAAGGACCTGGAATCATTTATTTGTCCTGTCACTAGGATTCAGTTATAGCTGTGGAAAAAGTCACCTAATCTCCATGAAAGTTTTCCTTGCAGGAACCCCTGAGATGTTGAGGAAGCAAATGTGTATCACTCCAGTCCACATGTCTCTTGTTCCCCTGTATTTACATGCTACAATTAGACTCTGTGGGCAATGGGAGGATACTTCTGAAAATTATATATAATCAACCTTCGCTTAATGTTACTTTTGTGACCAAACAAGGGAAAGCAAACAACCCAAACAAACAAACCCCTAAAACCCAAACCAAACCCTGAAACCATAATGTACCTTGCAATCCAGAAGTCATTTGCTGGTTTGCTGGGGTCCTCCTCTCCATCTCCCATGGTGTGCACTGTCATGGACTGCAGCAAAAACTGTGTTGATGTAGTTTGGCTGCAGTCAGTGAGCTGCCTGTCTTCAGAAGGGTGATATGAGACAGACACATCCACCAGGCGAGCAGGGAGGTAGGAGTGCCAAACACAGAAAGCCACAACTTTATTCTTTCCCGCATCAAGTCACCATCTAGAGCACAGATATGAGGTAGATGGGGAAGACTTAATAGATTGTCTTATAGCTTCCATAGAAAATATGCAAAGAAGCTAGTCTCCACTGGCACATGCAAAATAAATCAACAACAGCTAGGATATGCAATTTTATTCTCAATCAGGCTTGAAATATTTCCTCCTTAATAGCCAAAAGTCTGGAGGTACATTCTCTGCAGACCTTATAAGACCATATAACAGCAGACCTTAACTTTTGACCAAAAGCAAAGGACACTTCTATGTGTAAGGACATGTTAAAATTGTCTAATCTTAAATTATTGTTTTTCTTTCACAGAGGAAGAAACCCTTCATGTTCTTATTTTAATCCAAGACCCATATGATTTCACTTACTCCATGGCCTCAGCAAATCCAGACATCCTACTGAACTGTACAGCTAAAGGATACCCACTCCCATACTACAGGTGAAGTCAACTTTGGAAAAGCAGTGTCTCACTGTAAAACTGTGTTTTAATCAGTAGAACACCATCATGCATACCTCAAAATGTGTTGAGCACTTAGAGCTCTAGTACAAATAGGCATAGTAAATTTGAGGAATGAAAGAAAAATATTTTTGCTAGTCTACTGTTAGGAGAGTTAACACAGGAGAAGGAAGTACATCATTGAAAATTGTCCTCAGATTATTTTAAAACATACAAAATTACTTCTGATGCCACAAAACAACTGTGAAAAAAAACCATAAAAATGGAAATGCTGTGCATCTGTATTTCATAAAGGTCTCCATACATCAATAAATGATTGGAAAGCAAAAGAAAGAGCAACATCCTCACCCATTTCTATTTCTAACATTTCAGATATCTATTTATAGTGTTTATTTAGAGAAAGAACAACGCAAAACTCTGATATCTAGTTTAAAATACTCTTTGGATGTACTTGAAGCCTTGGTACATAAGACCGCATGTTTATTCAATCACTATTGACTCATTTAAAACAGATTGCTGCATTAAGGATGTGGAAACCTAAGTCTAATAGGAGGAAAAGCTGGAAATCTGGGAAAAATTACTGTGCTTTCTTCAGGAAAAAATGGGGAAAATAATTACCTAGGAAAATAATAATAATAATAACAGCAACAGCAATAATAGAATCATTGATGCAAGTAATGAGAGTGGTCTTACCAAATACTTAGTACTTATTCAATAGCTTTTAATTGCTCACACAACAGTTTCCTCTGTAAAGTACCACTACTAGTTAGCAACTTGGCTTTTACAGTTCATGTATTAAATTGTTTCCAAATATTGTGCTAGTAAAGGAATGCTTTATCTCCCTTTCACAGTGTAACTTTTCTTCCTAGGAATAGAAATCTTCAACCATTTCTTATTCGTTCATCCTGTTTTCAACATGAGCATCTACTGTTTCATGTCATGAATTTCAAGTCTTTTCCAGTTCACTTATCCACCTGCCCCATACGCACATATACAGGCAGCATCCTCAGAGACCTGTCCAAATTATTAGCTCTGTATTGCACCCATGGACTCCTCACATGCACAGATAATAGAGACAAGGTTTCCTCAGGCAGTAGACCTTTGAAGTCTCCTCCCATCATATAGCTGATATTCATACTTTCTTTTTCACTTTTTGCCTACCTATCCCTTAATTAGATTCATTATTTTCTTTGCACTATAAGGACATTGTGGAAAGCTTCAATTACTCTGGTAATTTGAGATCAACAGCTGGGGACAGATCCTGAACCATTTAGGTCAATTAGGAGTTATCAGACTATCACTACTATTACAACATGGGAGCTTTTCACCATGACTTGAAAAACAAAAGGAGTCTTCAGCACTTTGATTTCACTAGAGCTAATGCCAGTTTTGTCAGATAAGGATTGAACCCATACATTTAAAGTTAAAACTATTTTATATAAGTGAAGAACAATATGAAATGTTAATCATATGCTTTGTTGAGTGATGGAAAAGAGCAACAAAAACTACTGCAAGGTTTCTCTTCCCTCCAGAAATACAGAACCACTACAACAGGAATAAAATTATACACAAGCTAATTTATTATTTAGCATTTCTTACATAAATAAGCTGATTGATATGTTTCTTTAAAGAAAAAAATGCTTAGGATTTTCTGAAAAATTTTATTCTATACTGTATTAGTCTTAGAGAATCAAATTAGTAGTAGCTTTTTGCAACTTCATTTCAAAATCCTGGGTGTCTAATAATCACAATGCAATATCTGTATATAATTGAAGTAGACATCAGTGCTAAGTAATAAAAAACGAGGAACACTGATTTCCTGTTGGACACTGTTGGAAGTAGAAAACATAGATCAGATAATAATAGAAACAAAAGTACGGACATGTATCTCTAAAATCAGCACATGTATTGGGGAAATTATCTAAATGTCCTGCTGAACACCATTTTATCTATTATGTCTTTCCCTGCAAAGTCAAAACTTCTTATAGTATCAGGTGCATTATTTCACCAGTTTCTCTGTGTGGTGATGGTGGCAAATAAACGTAACGTTTCAAATTAGATTTGCAATTTTTTGTACTTAAGCTTTTCTGTTATACTTGATTGAGGGATTACCATCAACTAACTAAAGTTCCGAATTTTAGTTCTCTTTCTGCTTACAGCCTATCCATAAACATATCACAGTTCCATAGTTTTCTTTCATTAAGTCACTCAGTTAAGTACCGCTAACCTTCCACCACACTGGAAAAAACTAGCCAAACAAAAGAATTCACCTAGAGCCAAGCAAATCTTTTCTACACTATTTTGACATTTCCTGTTTGGTCTCAGGTGCTTAGTTCTAGCTTTTCCTGAACTCACATTTAGTATCCAAGATAATCACGCAACCCAGCATTTTCAGGCATGTTTGAAATTGAGTTTTTGCCCTCTCAATCTTTACAGAAGCAGTCAACTGAACAAGTAAATAAGAAAACTGAGGACAGCATGAACATTTTGCACTATAACAGTATTTTAATTTTAGCATAACTTAGAATTCTGCAGTAAAATAAGGTAAATAAATTCAAATTCATTCCATATCAAACTACCTCAGAAAATCACTGCAACGGACAAATAAAAGTGAGAGGTACAGGACCACAAAGTCTGAGATGAGTGCAAATGACAAAATATGTTTATAATCATTGCATAAAATCATAGAATGATTTCCAGTAAACCCCAAAATATATTTATCTTGTTTACATCCTTTCCCTACCGAAATATCAAAGATCATAGGTGACTAAGCAGCAGTTTTATCTCCCTGCAACAAACTTGCTCTGAAGCTTGTTTTCAGCCTCCATTAAGTACTGGATTCCAAGCTAAATGCCTCATGCCTGTATTTTTTCTTTTAAAAGGTGGCTCCAGCCTGAGGATTCTGCATTCTCAGCTCTGCTGGATTTACTTGAACACGGGGCAGGGCATAAGGAGAGGTGTCAAGATCATGTTGTCAGTACATACATTGCCCAGAAGGTCTACTCAGAGATATTACTCTAATATTTCACTATTTTTGTAAGTTTGATGTGCTTTTGTGTTCCAACATGTCTAGTTACATATTTTTTCAGTACAAAAATATGATAAAAACTCCTTTTTTTTTTTTTGGCAATTCCCTATAGACAGATTGCATAATTTGCATTATAAATTCACATTTGTCACATATTTGTGTCCATTAATAAATTCTACTTCTCCCTGTTTTTATTTGCTTGGAAGTGGAGACTATTTGAATAGTAAATCACAAGTATTGATTAAGTAGTATAAATAAGGGGAAATCAACGTATATTACACATTTATTTATGTCAGTGATGTGACTGCAGTGTATTTTAGAAGGACTTTCCCACTAAGTCCAGCATAAAAGATTTAACATAACCAAATAGCTTGGAAAGATGCTGGTATTTTTGTATATTCCAATGTTAGCAGAAACTGGTAACAAATTAAGAAAAGAGAACAAGAGAGTGTAGGCTACTTCTTGTTTGAGACCATCAAATCATGGTGGGAAGCAGGGGAGGTCTCACATATATATAGGTTCTGAAAGTCTTTAGCTTAACAAAGAAGTTACTGAGAATATCTTGTAACTGGTGTTTTACAAAATGTTAAGATTTTGAAGATAATAGTATATGAAAATTTGGTTAATGAATTCATAAACCACAGTTTTGTTTTAAGTTTGGACATCTCTGTATGACATTCCTAAGGAACTAATGAATTCAGAAGCAGAATATAGCTTATTTTAATAAGTTTGCATTCTGAAACAATTGGTCCAGGCAGCATTCCCTGTAATGGAGGAAAAGCATTTGCCAATCTCTGCATAAAGTTCACAAAAAAAATGTACGTGATCCCTGCCTTAACAAGCCTAAGTTATTTTCTTTTTTTTTTTTGACATCAGTTTTCAAAATTTCAGTGTATTAATGTACTGCGGAACACAAAGTGGTTAAATCGTTGTCTACCACATGAATTTGTTAATTCGCTTCCCCCAGTGATGTAAACAGATTAATTAGGAAAAAGCCCACACCAGGAGATGAACCTCTGATCTATATGCAAAGTTTAATAATCACTGTACCACGGTGATTAGAATGATTATGGGGATACTGTGAAGAATTCATTTGCAGCAACTAAGCCAACATCTTTGCATTTGTTTTGAAAAACAATTATAGACCTTAATTAGGAGCCATGTAATGATGACAGCAGTTATTTCAGTGATTGATTCAGAAATTAAAGAGAACTGGCAAACTAAATACCAGAATATCCTATATTAGAAAAAGGAACTGTTTAGACAGCATGTACCATATACAAATCACAAAATAAGGCGAATTCCTAACACTGATACAGGTAACTGCTTCATGGAACAAGCTCATGGATGGGCACCAGCTAAGATTTTGTTCATGTTTGAAAAGGAAGAAAGCCAAAAAAACCCTAAGAACAGCAGCATAAACCTAGATCAACTAAAGCAAAAACAAAAAAGGAAGAGAGCAGAGGTACATAAAGGTCAAAAATCAGCTGCAATTACCGATGTTCCAGTGTCACATCTAAAATTTTAATTCATTAATAAAGAAGGCCATGATAGACAGACCCAGATAAATTATTTAACAGTGCTAGAATTTGTTCACAAAATTGATTTTATATTTTAATCAGTCATTACTTATTTTTTAAGACAACAACTGCACACTTGAAAAGTCAGTACCTTTGTTTCCTCTGTACATACTAGTCAAGACTTGCTTTGGAACACAAATGCATTTCACAGCACAGATTAAAGACCTTTCTCCAAAAGAACAACTGTCTGTGCAGTCTGATGAGAGAAAGGTCTGTGAACAACCAAGGTAAAGAAGTGTGCTGTGCATCCAGGTCAGATCTTCCAGGAATAAAGTTATGACGGAAGTTTGCTTCAATTTGTTAACTGTGGAAACTATCATCACTATCAGTAAATTCATCTCTGCAAATAACAAGAAATATAATTTTTTTAATGCTGTGATTTCAGGTAATTAACAAGGAGACAATTAACCCTTGTTTCAAGGACTGCCATAAAGTATTCTGCAAACTCAAAGTGAGCCATTAGCAGTTCCTGTGTGGTCTTTGCATCCTACAGAGGGGTAGACAACATACCTACACAAGCCAACAGAAGTGATACAGACAGAAGAGGTGGTTGTGGTATAAAATTAGGAAAAGAAAATATGTGGTTATATAGTTTTAGGATGCTGGAAACCTTAAGTGTGGCATTAGCAAACAAAAACATTGTAGACATCAGTGAGGTACTTTATTGTTCCATCAGACTTTCTATGGAAAATGAAAATTCAGTGACTAACAGTAAAGCCACAAAATTTCCCTTCTTACAGCATATTTTTTTTCTTTGATATATAAGCTTTATTTTGACATTAGTAAATAGATTTACAATGTTGCAGACAATTCATTTCCTACTTACAGTACTAACAGGGACAAACCATGTTTTAAACTGGTAGCACTCATTAAATTATCAGTTTCAAGCTTGCTGCACAAAAACTTCTCTCGTCTGTCTTCTGGAGTGCAATCCTTCATGATCTGTAACTCCAAATCATTTTTGTAACCAAATTTATGGCATCATTGCAAGCACCATAAAGTACATTCAGGTACCATTTATATTATAAAAAATAAGGTAGCTGTAGCTGAGGCATATACAAAGCTCTCAAACAGATGGACAACTTAGTTTGTATGAATAAGTTATAATTACTTTTTGTAGACATTTGTATGAACACTGGTGACTAGCATAAAGGCAGTAAAGATTTTTCAAAGAACAGAACTATTGGTATTATTAAGATTGATATAAGAAGCAGTCTTGTGTGAAAAATGATGTAATTTTGTGATATTTAACTACATTTTTATCATTACAGTTATGCTACAGCACACTATATAAGATAAATATGAATAGGCTCTGTAAATTGTAAGCATAATTTGATTTTTTTCCCCCTCAAAGGTGGAAGAAAATGGCACAGATATTGATCTTACCATGAGTTATCACTACAGGTTGGTTGGAGGCAGCTTGGCAATCAATAACCCACATAAAAAACAGGATATTGGAACATACCAGTGTTTGGCCACAAATTCATTTGGAACAATTCTGAGCAGGACAGCAAAGCTTCAATCTGCACGTAAGTTCGGAAGATCATATTTATTAGAACATTATTTTCTGATTAATTCTGCACATGAAATGCAATTTATTGGGTAATTAAAGTATCATTGGTGATTCTTTTCAAAAGGTTTGGCTTGCTTCAGCAGTGCTTATTATTAAAAAGCCTTTCCTGGTAAATATTAATAACAAAACCAGACATATGATGGCTGCTACCTCTCAGGAACAAGAATAACTTTCAGAAAATTAAAGGTCAAGGAAGATAAGTACAATTACAACTTAATAAAGGTGTTTCCAGGTGTTTTTTAAGACAGTACTTTCTTTGCTGCATTTCAAGTAGTTACAATTGGAGCAGAAAAAATGTTGCAAAAAAAAAATAGGCTATTTTCTATAGCATCTGAGTCCTAAAAACATTGTAGTCCTAATTGCCACACGGATATTTTGTAACATTAACAGGGTAACAATACTTTTTTCCTTGTACAGTGTGCAAAATGGTGAGCTGTACTTCAAATGTTGTATATTTCAGCTCAATGTCATATAGCATGCATGTTGTCTTAAGCTACTTAAAATTTAGAATCATAGAATAGTTAGGGTTGGAAAGGACCTTAAGATCATCCAGTTCCAACCCCCCTGCCATGGGCAGGAACACCTCACACTAAACCATATCGCCCAAGGTTCTGTCCAACCTGGTCTTGAACACTGCCAGGGATGGAGCATTTACAGCTTCCCTGGGCAACCCATTCCAGTGACTCACCACCCTTACAGTAAAGAATTTCTTCCTCGTATCCAATCTAAGCGTACCCTGTTAAAATTTGAACCCATTATCCCTTGTCCTACCACTACAGTCCCTAATGAAGAGTCTCTCCCCAGCATCCCTATATGCCCCTTTCAGATACTGGAAGGCTGCTATGAGTTCTCCATGCAGCCTTATTTTCCCCAGTCTGAACAGCCCCAACTTTCTCAGCCTATCTTCATATGGGAGGTCCTCCAGTCCCCTGATCATCCTCGTGGCCCTCCTCTGGACTTGTTCCAACAGTTCCATGTCCTTTTTATGTTGAGGACACCAGAACTGCACACAATACTCCAAGTGAAGTCTCACGAGAGTAGAATAAAGGGGCAGGATCACCTCCTTCGACCTGCTGTCCATGATCCTTTTGATGCAGCCCAGGATACAGTTGGCTTTCTGGGCTGCAAGAGCACACTGAAGCCCGCTCATGTTCATTTTCTCATCAACCAGCACCCCCAAGTCCTTCTCCACAAGTCTGCTCTGAATCTCTTCTCTGCCCAGCCTGTAGCTGTGTCTGAGATTGCTCCAACCCAGGTGTAGGACCTTGCACTTGCCTATACTTCATGAGGTTGGCATCAGCCCACCTCACAAGCATTTCAAGGTCCCTCTGGATGGCATTCCTTCCCTCCAGCGTATCAACCGAACCACACAGCTTGGTGTCATCAGCAAACTTGCTGAGGGCGCACTCAATCCCACTGTCCATGTCAGTGACACAGATGTTGAATAAGATCAGTCCCAACACAGATCCCTGAGGGTCATTGCTGGTCTCCAGCTGGACATTGAGCCATTGACCACAACTCTTTGCATGCAGCTATCAAGCCAGCCAGTTCTTTATCCACCCAGTGATCCACCTATCAAATTAATGTCTCTCCAATTAGGGACAAGGATGTCATGTGGGAAAATTTATTTTAGGCTTGCTCTCCATTTAATTTCACAATTTTTTTCACAGTGTTATACATGTGGTGACTGTATTCTGCTAATGTCCCTGGGTAGGGGAACAGCAGCAACAGCCAAAAACCCCTAAATATTGCCTCCAATCCTTTCCTTTCCTTTCAGTGGAAAGGTCTGAGCTGTCTGTTGCTGGGAGAAAGCAATTGTTTTCAAACCTCATTAATAAAACATGTGTCTAAAGCCAGCCTTGTGTCGCTATTTCAGACACCAGCAAATGTATTACTTATTAATCTTGTTCCATTTCTCATAGCAAATCTCATGTCGCAGGGGTTATACAAAGGAGATATTAGAGGTCAGAGCAGTTCACAGACTCTCTTTTAGTAAAGATGATCAAATGGTATATCGCTAGTATCTCATTTTGTAATGTTTTACTTTAAATTTCTCCAAAAGCTTGTTTCCCAAGAGGTGATCAAATGGAAAGAAAAGTTTTGATTCATTATTTTCCCACTTTTTCTGAAACATCTTTACAGACCAATCTTCCTGCATAGAAAATTATTTCAAGATCTGGAGATTAAATTGCTTAGTTTTTAGAAACTAGAAGCTTTAGAAAGAAGAAAGAATAGATGGCCACAAGAAAAGGTCTACAGAATCTACAGTCCCCAAGATATCAGGGTAGACCAGAAATGGAGCTGGAAAAAGACCCAAAGAAAAATAATACCCTCAAAGGCACAAAAGAGATATTAAAAATTAAAAGGGGGAGGAGAGAGAGGAGGTGAGGAAAACCAGGACTATCTCTGGAAGAAAGAAGGCTCTGGTGATTGTTCAGCATATCATATTACTCAGTGATTTTATCTTTTTCTGGAAAATTTTATCACCAATTCAAATTCCTGGAAGCACTTTGGTTTGCCATCACTGCTCTTTCCCAGCCCACAAGGAATCACACTGGCTTGGTGTACCACCTCTTAGGGTATATAAACAGCTCTTCTGGACAGTGCTTCTTTACACAATCATTAATGTCACTTCCTTCCTATGGCTTTCTATGTTTGCTTTTATCTAACATCATTTCATAACCATGAGTAAGACCAAAGCTAGCTCCTGAAAACTAGTTTTAAGTCTTTGCAAGGCAAAGGGTTTGCAAAAAGCTGAAATAGAAAGAAGGGAAAGAAAGCAAAAGCCTTACTAATAAGGAAGACAGAGGAGAAGAGTCCTTTCTCAATGGACAGTTTCCCTTATGAGGTTGAGTTTACTAAGAACCTCAACATGGGTTTGCACCTTCCTGCAGAGAGCAGGGTGGTTCTGCAGAGACCTTTTGCAACTCCCCCTCTTCTGGTGCAGCACAGCCAGAGGTCTGCTGTCAGACATGCAAACCTGAAATAAATCACATGTGATTTCTGGCCTGCCTCAGGCAGTGCGCATCTCAATACAATGCAGTTGATGTCACACTTACCAGCTAGAGGACCTGTTTGCCAGAAAATAGACTTTGTCAATGGCATTAAGTATTTCCAGTTAACACTCTGTTGCTGATGAAGCCTTCACTCTGAAGAGCACTTAGCTCACTAATAGCTTGAAATCTAATGCCAATATACAATAATCAAAACAGGCCAAGTATCAAACTATTTACTTAGGTTTCATACCCCCACCAAGACATATCCCAGAGTTACTATGGACAACTGGTCACAGCAAAGTTGGGTGCTGTTTGTCTACAGCAGCAGTCAAACCCACAGCTCCCATCCCATCTTAATCCTCTAGTTCTTAAGAGCAACCATATAAATATGTCCCATATTCAAGAAGCAGACTACTTTTTCTTTAGCAGTGACAGACATTTACATCCTTTCCCATATAAAAAAAGACGACAAATTGAAGGTTGTCATTCACATTGTCAAACACAAGCATACAGGGAAATGCTTCAATTTTGCAGCGTCACTGTGAAACTGAGTTTTATCTTGTCTTACAATAGAAAAAGAAACAACACACCAAACAACAAAAACACACTACATGGACAACATTATAATGACCTGATGAGAATAGTAGAACAAATTACCTTGAAACAATTATTTCACAGTTAACATTTTCTTTCTATTCTCATGTTGCCATCTAATTTACTTCTTTGTTTCAACCAGTATTTCAGGCTATGTCTTAAAATCCAGGTAGGCATGTTGATGTTATGGCACTTTCATTCAATGCCTAACAAAAATGGGACTCTTCCCTGAACTGGGCTGCCTTGCATATTATTGCAATCATCATGATAAATAATTGAACCAAGACTATTATTTAAGTAATGGGGTTTATGTGTATTTGTCTTTTGCTACAAGGTAAGTAACTGAGTATGAGTTTGAATTAATGACAACTCTGGAAACCTACTGTACATGTCAACTTAATATGTGAAAAATACTTTTTCCTCTGTTCAAGATAGTGAGCTCTCTAAGTAGCAAAATAAATGTGGTATGAGATTAGAAATATGTCTTCAGATTCAGGTGGAGTTTCATGCTTATCCTCTATTAAAAACAGAGCTGTCAAATGAAAGCTGCAGGAGGAACATTGTACAGAAGGAAGTGGCATAGATTATTAAAGCTACAGGCTGAAAATGAGAGACAGCATCAGTGAGAGAGCAGAGCAAAAGCACATTAAATGCATTAGCAGCCTACATAGGATGGCAGTCCTGTATTACTCGTACTTCCTGGCAAAGGTTTGTTTTGTCATAAATAAAGTTGAAAGCTCCTTATAAATCCTGCATGTCTGTTGTTGCCCAGCAAGCAGCACATGTTGAAAAACTAATGTGTTTTCCAAGAGCTGGAGCTGTTGTTCTGGATCTTCAGTCTGCTTAAAAAAGCACTGCTGTCACATCCCAGCTTGGGTAGCCAAAGCCCATCACAGGCACAAGGGTCCTTACAGAGATCTGAGCTTTGCTCCCAAGGCACAACCTGCCATCCACATGATGCTTCCCCCTCAAGTTCAGTATTAACATCCAGCAGAAAGTCACCTGTAATGCTTCAGCTGTACATAAAGGGAAGGTCAAAGACAACTGCATGGGACTCTATGCAAGAATCAGCTTGAAGAGTTGGGGACATGGAAGGTTTAACAGTTTTCAAACCAAAATGAAGATGCTCATGCACAAGCTTCCCAGATGTCACAGGTTTTGCTCCTCCTGCATGCACATTGGAGCAGACACTTGTGAAGCACCTGCCCTGAGCCCTGCCATCAACAGTCACCTCCCAAAGCCTGACAAGGTCTGACCAGGCAAAAACACAGCAGCCATCACTTTTGAGCCAAAGATACTAAGATCACAGTCACATCCAAACCTCGCGAAAGAAAGAGGCATTCAGGTTTAAAGAATATTTTTGATC